CTTTTGATAATCAATGTTTGTTTGTATATTTGTATTAATCATTTTATTTGATACATTTTTCATATCTCGTTTTCTAAAAATTTTAATTTATTTTGAGTAATGTAATTTGTATTTTTATATAACAATTTATAAATAAAATATTTTTTAAAAAATAAAATTTTACATAATACTCGCACTAAAACAGAAATTTTGAGACGTAGAATTAAACTAAAAAGTGATTTAATAGAAGAGACAAAGTAGAAAGTAATAGAAGTAGATAAATATGGTCAAACTAGTCATAATCTGTACTTGCAACTCCTCTTTGTTTCCCAAAACGGTAACTGATAAATGTGGTCGTAAAACATTGGACCTTGCGATAGAAATCAGAGTTTAATTTTGACTTGGAAGTACGGTGTTTAAATTTTACCCAATTGAAATTGGTCGTTGGAAGAAAGTTTAGTCTCATATCACCATGTTAACTAGTTGTCTTACTTGTCTTGTCTCCCAATCTAAGGTAAAAAAAAGATCTTTCTCTCTATTTTTTTGTTATTCTAAAATTTTATTTTTTGGAAAACGTTTTTATTAACAAATTGATGTTGAAAAAAAATACAAATTAATTATATGACTCAAAGCTAAACCAAAAGTTTTACAAATCAAGGTGTACCAAAAATATTTTATTTATTCGATAATAAATGAAAATGTGCAAGGACTTACATTTATCGAGAACTAAGAATAGTAACTAACACTACTTTTGGAATAGAGAATATTATTTTATTAGATTCTCACATTTTCACTTCTTTTTTAATGGTAGACCACATGTCATTTATTTTATTCCATCATTATTGTAAAAAATTATGATATTTTATTTGTAAAAAATAACTAAAATTTATACGAAGTATATGTTTAGTTCTAGTAAAACCCTATGCACTAAAAATTTTAATTTAGATAATATTTTCTAATTTATATTTGACATATGAATCATTCTAGAAAAATATACTTAACCATACAACACTACTTTTTCAAACGGTTTCTAATTTCTAATTAAAATATAAATAATTAACAAAAATCTATAAAACTGCACATGTCATGTTCTATACAAGTACACATGTCATATTTAATACTAAAAGTTCTTATCAACGTAACAAAAGAATTTCAATTGAAAATTAAATTTCTAAGGGTGCTGTTAAAAAAATAACAAAAAAAGGCTGTTTTTAAATTTTGTTAATCAAACTTTAACAATTTAAAACGGAGTACTTGTTACGGAGTAATTGGAGGAATGTGGAGTTGGAACTATATTCAATTGAGAAATGCTAGATTCAGAAACAAAATGGTCACAAAACTCATAAACTTACTATTTGTGAACTTCAATAAAAAAGTTAAAAAGTCTAAAATAAATTTAAAATAAAAATTTTAACTATAAATGATAAGTTTGTAAATTTTGTGATCATTCTGTTTGTGAACCTAACATTGTTCTAATCAATTATGGTAACTACACACCTGCCAATCCGTTCAATTTCGGTTTGGATCTTTTTAGTTCAGCTTCACGTCTCTTTCGAATATATGTTATAATCAGTTTGGTTCATTTTTAGGCTTGATGATTTGATTTGATTTTTCTCGATTTTGGCTCGAGTTTATATCGATTCGGGTTCATACTGGTTCGGGTTAGTAGCGATTCGAGTTTACATCAATATGAGTTTATACCGATTTTAGATGAAATCTTTTGATATTAAAGTTCCTAATATTAGCCTTGTGTGTAGCCTCTCCTCCCTATGTGTAAAGGGGCTATATTGTAACACCATAACCCGTCCAGGTCTGTAGCCCCTTTCGGACTAAAGTATAAACTTAGTAATCGTAACATTTAAAACATTTCAAACCCTTTTATTTATCACAAATAATATTCATAACATAAATAGTGACAGAGTTTTCAATGTTGCAGAAACTTTAACAAATCACAATCACAAAACATAATTAATTTATCTTTTGAAATAACAATTTAAAACCATCACACCCATGCCGACAATATCGCCTACGTCTACCGCCAGGATCACGTTGTAACGCCCCGAAAATAGACCTATCAGAATTAATTAATTAATAATTAATTAATTACCAAGAAGGACCCAAAAATAAGTGATTTATAAAGTTTGTCAATAAATAATGAAAATTATATCGTTATTTAGAGTTTGAATGTCTGAATCCAACGGTTCAATCGGATTTCAATTCGGAGAAAGTTAGACCAAAACGTGTGCCCCGACTAGGACCAAATGAGTCCCAAGGACTTACGTTTAGAATCGGGAGAAGACAGCAGCCCGCTCCACTCAGCCGCCTAAATAGGGAATCGTTCATCAGCAGCCTTGGTTTCTTCCTCTAGTCCTCCTCTATATAAGACCACTCCTCCTACTCAATTCTTCACCATTTCTTCTCAAATTTCTTCCAAGAGAACGCAGTTGTGCTGCCATTTTGGTGTGAAGTCGCTGGAGCTAAGAGTAATCCTCGTTAGAAGTTTTGCCGGAAAATTCCCAAAACCTCCATTAAGCTTTGAGGTAAACCCGTAGATATATCTAGTGACTAGAATGTTCGTATAGATCATTTCTACGTTCATAAATGGTCGTTTGGTTGAGTTTTGTGTTTAACATACAAATGCTCTATGAACCTTGGAGAACATTTCTATATAGTTTAATTGAAGTTTAGTGACTAAAAATGATATTTCCAAAAATTGGCCCGAGGTTGAAAATGACATTGTTCAAAACCATGCGCGGATTGGTAGCTAGATATCGTCCGGACGGTACCTTGGTACCGCCGGGACGGTAGGCCATACCGTGGGAATGGTAGGCTAGCTACCTTCTCCACCGCAGGAATCTGTTCTCTGGCGGTACCTGATGCCAAACGGTACCCCGTACCTTTTGAGCGGTTCCGAGGTACCGCCGTACCGTACCGCGGTACCGTACGTTAGGGGTACCATTTGTCCAAAGAAAATTTCAGAAAACCTGATTTTGTAAACTCTTAAACTCTATTTTTGATACCAATCAATTTTAATCAATTTTCATATGATTTCTGAAAATGAATATGATGTTTCCATAAAACCAAGAATCTTGTTTGATGCATGACGGTAAGCTAGGGTGTTAACACTCGACGCTAGGCTGCTACTTGTTAATTATGATTATTGATGATTATGATAAATATTTTTGATTGATGATAATGATGATTTAATATTCTGATTAAAGTAATAATTATGAAGAATTGAATCATGACTAAAAATGGACATATTGATTATGAAAATGATGTGTATTGTTAAGGATATCTAGAAGAACTTTAAGATATACCATTTGGAAATTTATGACTATTAATGATATCTAGAAGAACTCTAACATATACCTATGTGACCAATTCAATTATTTGGGGTTAAAACATACGTACGGAATCCAAACAAGATATCATCCGCCCGACAGTTCATTGTTCAATTGGTACGTAATCCAATTGCCTTAGACTAAGAATAGCTAAGAGCTTGTATAAAAATGGTTTGGCTTTAGATTAAGAATAATTTAATAGTACTCTTGAGACATTGAATATTGAATATTGTATATATCAGTAAATGACTTGAAATTAAATATTGTGAATATCATGAATGATAAATGATTGAATTGTATATAGTGTGCATGATATCAAATGGTACGGTTGATTATGAATTGAGATCCAATTTATATAGATGTTCGATGCATTGGATATGCTTACTCCGCTTAATTTAACGCTAAGCGTGTAGTATGTTTTATTTGCTAGACACAGTTAAACAAAAAGAATGAAGTGATGGAATCCTGGGAGCAAACAGTGCGAGATGGTCAAGCTAAGGTGGATGTGTGAGATGAATTAATGTTTAAAAAACATAATATTATTATATTTTGTAATTGTTTTTATTCAGTTTCCGCAACATTAAACTACTCCGATATTATTCTGAATAATTTATTATGAAATGAAGTTTTAAATGTTTGAAATATTTTGAATGTTTACGAATACCAAGTTTATACTTTAGTCCGAAAGGGCTGCAGACCTAGACGGATTAAGGTTTTACACACGTCATATCATTCTTTCTGTTTACCTGCGTGTAGGAAATAAAACATACTACACGCTCAACGGTGAAGCTGAGTAAGGATATGTAATGTATCAAATATCCACATAAATTGAATCTCAATTCATAATCAAATCATTTGATATCATGTACATAATATTTAATTTAAATATACCAAAATAGGAGTTCCATATTTTTATTTCTTAAACAGGAGTTAAAATACATTTACATTACCAATCATGACCATGTATATTATGTAAAATGTACATGTACAATGTCACATTATCACAGTATGAACTCCTATTTAAGAAATAAAAATAATATAGAATTCCTATTTTGGTACTTTCTCTATGTTTTAGTCTTATTTCGGGTGATTTCTTATTTTACAAAACAAGATGCGACAAGAACATTTTATTCTGTCAAATAGTCAACCAAAACAAGAAAATAAACAAAAGTTAAAGAGAGGTTGAAATAGTAATTGTGTCATTCTTTTTAGAATAGAGGGGGTATTAAATAAGGTCAAGGTTTAACATATTACAAATAAGAGTTGGAAGAACATAGGCATATAGGTTGACCTGTGGGTGACTGGGCGGCATATATGGTATATTGTTTGATTGAAACTACTTATGAAATTAATTAATTGCATATTTGGAAAATTGGATTTGGATTTCAAATCTAGATTTGGCTCAAATTTCTTGTTTGGGAAACTTAAAAAATTTAGATTTGGATTTGAGTCAAATTTCTCTAGTTCATAACAAAGCTCAATTTTCAATTCATATACCTCCCCTTGTAATTTGAAATTCAAAAATTTTAAATTTTGAAATTAAAATGCATGAATTCAAAAGAAATGCTAGTTCCCAAAAGAAGTTAAATTTTGAGTATGTACTTAATTGACAACAATTATATACACCCTCTGTTTGCAAAAAGACTTCTCATTTTGATTTGGGGCAAAAATAAGAAAATATTAAATTATAGTTGATTTCCAATTTTGCCCCTGATGTGATGGGTAAAAGTAAGATGTGATGGATAGATTATTAGAGAAAAAGTATGATGTGATAGGTAAGGTATGAAAAAGTAAGTGTAAAAATGATTTTTTAATAGAAAGAGGAATTGTTTTGTTGGAAGTGGAAAAAATAAAAGAGGAAGTGTTTTTGAGAACGGAGGGAGTATCTTATTATGCTGATGTAAAATCAAGAATCAAAAACGATCTTGAGACCGCCAATCTTGACACCCTCACATCCCGTCTTTGGCACTAAAGTCACTAGAATTTGGTCATCGTACTCCGCATTCAAATCCTCCAATAGTTCAGTTATGGTTAACCTCATCTCAGTCTTGATGATCTTCTGCTCCTGCATGTGGTGGTGACTGCCATGTGGCACACTCACGAAGCTCCCGCAAAACTCGGTGTGCTTGGGCGTGGCCATCGCCTCGTCTTCTTCGTTAACAAGCACGTCGAACTTCACATAAACATCCTTCTCAACCTCTATCCCTTCGATTACAATAATTTCTTCTTCTTCGTCATTATTTCTCTTATGTTTTCCTCTTGTTGGCCTTCTCACCGTTGCCTTGACAACTTTGTCGAGCCTCCGAGGAAAAACCTTGTCAGCTGATGTAGGGGATGCCCCTGCAT